GGCCACCTCTGGGCAGCTGACCTACAACAAGAAAATAGTTTGCTGGTTTGCACAATGTGAAATTGGAACTGTAGGTTTTTTTTTTTGTTTTTGTTTTTTAAGGAAACCAATTGGTTGTTCATTATTAACATGGTTATTTTCTCTCTTATCGATAATTGCTATTGTATCAAATATAAATAGATTTTATGCAAATATTTGATTATTTGAGAAAATTTTCCATGGGACAGTCAAACGCTAAAATATTCAAGAGCTGCGTCCCAACAGCCGCCACTGGTTATATTGTCATATTTTGTGTTTCAGGTCGCTGGGATTAACCCGGACAGAAATTGCTCATTCATTTAAAAAAAAAAAAAAAAAATGCTGCTCAAATGATGTCGTTGATTTACAAAAGTGCTGGTCAAAGAAACGAGTTATTACAAGCCTTGCATACCATTAGGTACATCATAGGTTTGTGAAATATTGACTCTATTAACCCTGAAAGAAAAGGAAACTTTTGCTGGCTGTGGTAAATCATGGTTAGGAATTATCTAAAAGCTAAAGCTCCAGTAATAACCTGCTGAAATATGATCTTTTACATTGACTGCTTATAATTAAACAAATTAATTTGTTTGGCTCCATACAAGAGAGACTCGATAGAACTGTGTTCCCCAAAATAAATCATACATTGTAAATAACTAAAAGAAATGTAATTACTCTGAGTCCCCTAAACAGTATCTATAACCTCTAATCCATAATTTATCCATACATTTTATTAGATTATTAAAAAAAGAAAATTATGTTGATTGTTGAATTCAGTCAGCAGTTAATTGTATTATGTGGCAACTGATAGCTACGGTTAAATAAAAAAAAAAAAGTTAGCTGGTTACTATGTCATTCAATCATCCCGTCATTGTTTACCTGTCACAAGCAAGCAATGTGTGTGTGTGTGTTTTAGAGGCCATCAAGGAGTATTTGGTGATGGTGTATGCAGGCCTCACAGGCCCTATCACGATGCTCACCTGCACCGTGTTGGCACTCACACGACTGGTGTACGAGTATAAAGGTATGACACTTGACATAGGTGGCATTTAAAAGTCTACACACCGCTTTAAATTAGAGATTTTTATTATAGTTAAAAAAATAGCCTTTTTTTTCACCTCAATTGAGTTCTTCAGGTTGTAGCGTACATCAGTGATGAAAAAGTTGAGAAATTATTTGGTTTGGTTTCATTTTTTTACGACACGAAAAGCTGCCATTTAAACATGGGTGTGTATATTTATTATATAAGAGTCAGAGTCAAATAAGATCCTGTTATTTATGTCAGACTCCATTGAGGTGTCCACCATGGAGCAACTTCTGCACAACGTGTGCCTGCTGCTGGCCTCTCGCACCAGAGAAGTGGTCAAGGCCGCGCTGAGCTTCATCAAGGTCATCCTTTTCGTCTTGGAGACCAACACGTTAGCGTCGCATCTTACTGTGATGGTACGCGCTGGACGCGCCGTGAATATCGCATTGTGATTGAGATCGTGGAAAAACACGGAGTCTTTTGTGGGAGACCGGAGTTTATGATGTTTGTTTTTGTGCCAGATGGAAGGCATTGCGAGTATGACCAATGATGCGAGGAGACACTTCAGAGTCAAACTCAAGAACATCTTCACCAAGTTTATCAGGAAGTTTGGGTAAAGCTTGGAGAAATCTTGTTTTGTTTATTTTCTGTGTGTGTGTGTGTGTGTGTGTGTGTGTGTGTGTGTGCGTGTGCGTGTGCATGTGCGTGGTCACTTAATGCAATAAGAGCTTTCTCACAATTGGAGAATTATATATATTGTAGCTAAATCTGGGGAAGAGAGGTTTTTATAGACTCGTTTCCAAACCTGTATTGTATTTAAGGCTTATATTGCAAATTCGAAAACAATGTCACAGCACACGACCAAACTCATGTCTCAAAAAGTTCAAACACAGGCAAATTAAACATTTCATTGTTCTTACATTAAAAAAATCTTTATGATATATGTTCAACGCAGCCCCACTAGTTTAAACGTGGCATTCAGATTAATGTTGCGTTTGTGGAACCTGAATTTGGCAGCAAAATTTTTTTCCTCCCCAATCTGAGGGGGCCGGCCATTTTGCCCCTTGCTGTCGACAGTCATCTCAAACATTCAATAGATAAACAAAATAAAACATGCCGTGTGTGCCTTCTGTCTCAGTAGTAGGCAAAGTGAAGATCATAAAAGTTGACATGACATAATGCTCTCGCTCTCTCGCTGTCTGACTCTCTTTCTGTCTCTCTCACGCCATCCGGCATACGCTTCCCAAACCTGAATTAATGGTATGTCATCGTGTGCAGGTTCGAGTTAGTGAAGAGTCTGCTACCTCTTGAACACCACAAGGTTCTGGCCAACATTCGCAAGACGGAAGCTCGCAATAAGAGAAAGAAACAAGTGTCGGAGCAACAGGAAGACTCGGACAGTGAAGAGGAGGCTCCCAAAGCCACCGGTGACAGGTGCAACTCGTCTTTGTACACATGCAGAGCTGACTTGCCCTTCAATGTGAAACCTTTTTGGGTTTTTTTCTTCTCAGTATTGAGGACATCCTGGCGGGGTCAGACAGCGAGCCGTCAGAGGATGAAGGCAAGGCTGGAAGGAAGAAGAAAGGCGGGAAGCAGCAAAAGGGTCGGGCCTGGCTGAAAGAAGGAGAGGAGGACGACCCGCTCAACTTCTTGGATCCCAAAGTTTCTCAAAGAGTGCTTGGTAAAACAAATACAGCAATCAAGATATTTGTTATATTTTCATTGGTGTAATGTATATTTTAATGGGTATTTTTTAATGCGGTTTTGTTTTTTTAAAAAATTACCGTATTTGCTTATTGGTTGACCAACAAGCTCAAGCCTTTTGGGAGCAATTTTTACCCATCAAAAATGTTTTCTTATTAAAACAAATGTAATTTATTTGAAACAATTCTCATACATTTTGGTAAAATATATTTTTCATTTTTGGGTAGATTTTAATAGCAATTCACAACAAATTAAATGTGCTATATATATTAACACATGAAAAAAAAATAAAAATATTGAAATAATGATCTCATCCGAATAAACTCATAAATGTACTTGTATAATTGAACACCACACTGCAATATGAATCTATTGAAAAGTTCCAAAATGCAACATGTACGTTGCATGATGTTCCAAATCAATGTGTATTTATTGAGTTTGGAATATTGAATATTTTTCCTCTGGCAGCCACCAACCCTGAGAAGAAAAAGAGCGCCAAGGCTGAACACGGCTTCAAGGTGACATCAGACGGGCGGCTGATCATCAAAGAAGAGGATGACGAGGATGACCAGAAAGGTAGCAGTCAATCTTTTATTATTTGTAAGCACCCGGAAATGTTCAATTAATTCATCACCCTTCTCACAGATGACGGCGAAATGAAGGATATTCTGGAAGAAGCTGGGGTGAAGATTGTGAGTGTTGTTGGCTAAGATGAACCGCCAAAGTCCTTCACAGTTGACTACCAACTCACAATGTTAATGATTTTTTTAATGTTTATTTTTTTAAGAAAAAGGTACAAAAGAGGAAACTCCGAGATGACAACTTGGATGATATGGACACAGAAACACATCTCAAGTACAAAGGTACATGACAATATCGACAGCAGTGTAATAGACTGTTACATGTTTACCGATGTGCTTCATACATTTTGACATTTTTGGCTTGGAAATTACTGTAAACATACAAACAAGTTTATTGTATTTTTATTTTGATCTATTTAAAACTATTTAAGGAAGAAATTTGTAAAGTAATTCATCAAATGCAGACATTACTTGTATTTTATAGGAAACCTTTTTTATAATGAATTTCTACCATTTGAATTGAATGAATGAATGAATGGAATCTTTCATGGCCTTGCTCAGCTGGTGGTTCGGGCATCCACAGACAGTTGGGAGGGCGCACAGACTTTGGAGCAGAGTACAAGTCAAAGGTGAAGTCAGCGGCATGCAGAAAACACAAAGACAGCCTTAATATGCGTTTTAAAAAAACATATATGAATGTTTTTTTTTTGTTGTTGTTTTAACAGAAAGGAAAGGGAGATGTTAAGAAGACAGGCAAACTGGATCCTTATGCTTACATCCCTCTACGGAAGGCCCAGCTCAATCGCAGGTATGAACTCCGTTTTCAAAACCATGTTATTCTTGGAAGATGTTTGTGGCATGGTTTGTGCGTGTGTGGTTTTTTTTTTGTGGTCAAATAGGAAGCGGGCTAAGCTGCAGGGCCAGTTCAAGGGCATGGTGAGAGGAGCCCAGAAGGGGGCGCTGTCAGGTAGAAAAATGCAGAAGAGCAAGCGGAGAGCCTGAAGATCATGGATGACTCTTCGAGGGAAATTCAAATGTGTGTGCCTGTGTTTGGTGACGTCATGGACATCTTGTGTGCGTGTGAAGCAGAACTCAGTTTGTTCTTGAACTGCCTCATAATCCTAATTCTGCTCTTCACATTGAGTGTATGCAGATACAAAGACAAAGTATTATGTATTTTCCTTTCTAAGCCACCTTAGAGCAGTGTTGGCTTGTGAGTGAATAATAATCTTTTAAAGCAGATATACATTTGTTTTTTTTTTTTCTTTTTCATCAAAATCCAAAATGGTTCCATTTGTCGAACATGTCTGTGACATGCTGTCATCAAAATGTCAGCGTCAACGACTATCAGAAGCTAATCTGCATTCAGCAAAACGCAAGCTGCACTGCTTACTTTGTACCTCTACCCTATTTCTCCTTTTCTCCCATTTAAACTTAAAATATGACTTTGAATGCACTCCAAAATAAGTTGAAAAAATCTCAGATTTTGCATTAATGTCACGGGTAGATTATTAGTGTCCTGACAGCAGTTAAAAGTCAATTTGTTTAATTCAAGGAAAAGCACTGCAGCACTAAATAATCAATGTCATAAACCGTCTCGCAAGCATATTTCTGCAAAAACATCCGAATATTGCGAAAATTGATCACTTCTATTAGATGAAAGAGGTGACTCATTAAAAAAATGTTTATTGAAGTTGTTAATACAGAAATAATGCAAATGATCATTTCAGTCAGTTCAGGAAATGGAGACAAGCACAAGGCAATTTTTGGTACTAAAATTGTAAAAAGACCACAAATGGATGTCAGTCTAAAGGGCTTGCTAGCATTAAAAAAAACAAACCACACACACAACTTGAAATTGCCCGAAAAAGAGAGACCCTAGTGTTGAACTCAGCCATGGCTAAATAAAAATAAATAAAATCTGTAGAAACTGCCCTGCAGTTGCCACAAGAATGTTAGCTGGTTGGGAAATGTAAAAGGACCGTCGGCCTAATCTGCAGCAACTCCGAGGGTAGTCTACATTTAAAACATTTTTCAACTTACTATTCGTTACAACACTCATGTTTTTCCTAAAAGCTCCTCTAACAAAACCGAAGCAAAGTTACTCATACATAACATTCTCTTCATTCCAGAAAGGGCAGGGAACCTTTTTCCTATGATGCTAAGAACATAATGCAACAATAGAACTGTTAATCATCAAATGGTTAGCACGTCTGCCTCACAGTTCTGAGGTTCTTGCTTCCAATCTCTCCCACATTCCCACAAACATGCATGTTAGGTTCGAAGAAGACTGAAGAATTAGTATCTGCCCAAAGGTCATACTGTATCGGTTCACCCCCTGACCGAGAATCAAACATGGACTTCTACATGCTGTTTTCTTCCTATTTGTCGCCATGAGAGTACTGAAGTAACAAAATGGTTGGCTGATTTAAACTTGAGGATAAATTTTGTGTTTTTGCTGTCCAGCAACAATGCCCACAGGCTTGCAGGAGTTGGACCACTTTGTATCATCATCATCACAGCCTGGGAGGGGGTCTGGAAGGCGGTGGTCCCGGGGGTACGCGGGATGGGGGCGGCCCGGGTGGGGGTCGTGCCACAGGAGGGGGTGTGCGTGACGGAGGCGTGGTGCGGGGCCCTCTGGAAGGGGGCTTGGTGCGGGGGACCGAGTTGGAGACCAGGGGTCGCTGCTCGGCAGGCGCGGGAGGAAGGGAAGCGGTGGGAAGGGGCGAGGATGGTGGAGAGGGGGCAGCGCGGGCGTAGGTGGCCGACTCGCCTTCTTTGACCCGGTGGAAGCGTATGCAGCGGCCCTGGAAAGACGCGACAGAAATGTTAGAAAACAACACTTTGGTGTCGTCTGTCTGTCGATCTGACTCCATCAATTTGCCTATCATGTCTTTGTCCACACAATATGAAAGTTAGAAAATGTCAATTTTATTGTTAAATAAATAAGTATTGATTCCTTTGCCATGCAGACAAATATGGCTCCCAGTTTGACTGGCGCCGTGTGCAATCAACCAATGAGCAATCCACCAATCTGTGCCACCATAGGCTGATAAAATGTCAAAACATGTCAGGGACAAGACTGGTATGGGTTAATTAAAAAACAAAAAACAAACAGCATTTTAAATAGCACACTATGACATCGTACTTCATAAAACATTCAGTATTGCTAAATAAATAGAATGACATTTAAATGAGCAGTTTTTTTTTTGTCGCACTGCATCAATTAAATGACCATGGCCACCTGGGAGCAGTCTAAGACTGACGGGCAAATGTACTTGAGATTCGACGTCTCAACTCCTCTCAGATCATCAGTATGACTCTAATATTAGTCATTCTTAGCAGAAGATGAAGAATACGCATGTATACTGTGAGTATGTTGTCTATCTTCGTGTGTTTATGTACTCTGCATTGAATCCATTGCTTAAAACAGAGTTCATCAAATGGGTGCCTGTTTCAGAAGTGTGTATCAAACTTGTAGCCCGCACTTATCAGCATTAGTTTCTACATAAGATAAGATAACCTTTATTTGTCCCAAACTGGGGAAATTTGCAGTCTACAAATAAAGGTTATCTTATCTTACGTAGAAGCTAATGCTAATTAGCACTAGCATGAAGAAAACAGACTGAAAGGCTATCTTTGCGGTTTTAAATAAACAAGAAGTAACACTCCTTGTTTTATTTTTAGTGTGACAGTGAAGAATGTTAAAATGTTTTAGCGTTTGCCGTTTTGAAGTGAAAACACGCAGCTAACAGACAGCCTCAACGAGTCGCGTCCCCGCTTGTGCGGACAGAAGCGAGAGTGTTTGAGGGCGGACAGAGGCGCGCCTGTCTTCCCTTCACACCTGCGCCACAATAGCTCGCAAAATTAGGCGCACACACTTGCGCGGTCTTCCCCTTTCCTCCTCCTGTGTTGTGACACCAAACAGAAAGTGCTTTATGTCTTATGTGTTTGCAACATAAAGGGGCATCTCTAAATATGCCCACAATAGTTAACAGAGGGTGCTAATCATGATTTACAAGGCGACAAAGAGTGGGACGCTTCTCTTATTGTCCTCATTGATGGCTGGATGCAAAGTCGGTGTTGTTATGAGACATGGAGAGGGGGCTCTCTGTGTCCTTGGTGGTCTGATTATAACACCTTATTAAACAGAGAGGCCCTAAAGTCACACAGGGGCCATTTAGATGGCCCGGGCAGCGGTAGCTTTGTGGCTTGAGGGGCGCTATTGTGCGAATGCATGTATACGAGGAGCTGCGTAATTGATTGGGGTCAGCCCGCTCGGGGAGAGGAGGGCTGTCGGGGGGTGACTGCCATGGTCTTGTCATCGGGCTGCGGAGAACGGGCCAGTTTGGCCAACAACACCAGCAAGAGCATATGGACACAATGAGAACACAAGCTCATGAATATGAGCGTGTGTGTGTGTGTGTGTGTGTGTGTGTGTGTGTGTGTGTGTGTGTGTGTGAGCATGCGGCTACTATAACATATGGCCTGAATGAACCCTCTGGCTCATGAATAAACAGAGACAGGAAGGTTCGGGAAGATGCTGTAAAAAGAGCACTAAGACAAAAGAATTTGTGTTTGAGGAAAAAAAAAAGAAACCGAACTCGCAACCATTTAAGCTAAACGAAACTGTTTGATGGGTATGCTCTGTCTAAAAATGACACTTGTTAGAGAGAGTGATGAAAAATAATATGTTGAAACAGCTATCCATGCATTTATCACATCTCGGCTACTGATAGTGTAAATAAATAATCAAAATAATGACAATGATCTAAATTCATTCAAAAATAATGCAATGTCTGTAGTACTTAGTAGTATTTTTTAATGTCATTTGTATTATTTTATTATCAATTATATTTTTCATTATTCATCTAATCTTATTAATTTAGTGTCATGGTAGATGCCGCTGCCTATTGAGCAGATGGTATGTGTTCAATTCCCAACCATGCACGGTCCTAAACCCAGATTAAAAAAAAAATGGGTGGGTTGCATCAAAATGGGCATGTTGCATACAATATTGTGCCCTAAAAAAATAATGTGCAGCATGAGTGTGGCAAGCTGTAAATCACATGTAATCGTATTTTTGTGCATTGTAACTTCCAGTGCTGCACTGCAAAATTTACACTGAGAATTTAGCCTTTAACCGCACAAGACACTCCGCGACCCTGCTGAGCACTACGGTTTGTCACAGTTTTATTTCCCGTCTTTGCGACTCTCCCTTTCCAAACCTCAACTTGTTTTTTCAGAAAAGGCCCTGAAACACCTCCAGCATTTCTCCCAACACCACACACTCTCTTTCCAGGCCTCAAGACTCTGCCCTTCACATGCGCACACACAAGTATGATTGATCCAGTCAATATGCTGTGCCTACACATCGGTGGCCGATACAGTAAAGAAGAAAGCGAGAGTGGTGATGCGCATCCGACCCTCAAGCATGACATTACAGCCAGGCACTCATATAAGCAAGTACGCCTACACTGTACTGGCCTCAAACAATACATGACATATATCATAGAAAGCCAAGATGTAAACATTTTCAATCACTTTTAAACAGACAACAGGCGGAAAAGAGATTCAGCTGGCAAGTCCTCCCGTGTCTCCGAGCGTACAGTGTCAAGAGCGTGGAAGATGTTTTATCTTGAATGAGATAAGCGATGGATGGATGGATGCTTTGGACGTGCAGCAGACATTAAAAGTCCAGCCTTAAACGCTACAAGAGGTGAGTGATGAAATGTGTTGGATGAAATTAGGGCGAAGCTAGGCTTTAAAGCAAAGTGACGATGAGGGGTCGGGTGGGGTGGGGGGGGCAAGATGTCGGGGACCCTCTGGTCTCTGCCGTCCTGTGTGACGGAGCATCCGTGCCATCAGCTGCGGGGACAAAAGAAGGGAATCTCTTGTGTCACAATATGGCTCGTGGGCTTTAAACTGCCCATCTGTTTGTGTGACACTCACTCGGCGTAGCTGACACACAACTTACAGTGACAAGCGCGCACGCGCTCGCACGCACACACACACGCACGCACGGGCGCGCTCGCACCGATGCAGCGAAGACATAAAATGCAAAAACAGTCTGTGGCAGAAAGTGGTCGCACGCTGACGGCCGTTTTGCAGACGCAGTGAGGTAAAAGTAATGCTGGGAGAAAACGGAAGGAGCGCGACCCTGAATAGATGCTCGATAATCTTTCCGTTTTTCTTGTGCTTTTAGCCACTTTATTTGTTCAGTCTTAGAAAAAAAAGCAATGATTCCATCAACTAAATAGTTGCTGGGGGCCCGCGGCGGTTTCTGGCGTGTGCATCACGTGTGGCTCGGCTGCAAATTGCGAGGTGAAATGGTTTTCTCGTGCGTGATGACAGGATGGGGAATTTGCACCCCCTGGTGGAGTCGCAAACGTGTCTCAGGAAAGTTGGTCTTAGCATCATAAGCATCAACCAAACAGTTGGGGCGCAAATAGGTTAGCATACAATTTTACATATTTTTATTATACATAAGGCAACATTTTTGAAATAATTCAATAATCTAACGCTGGTAAACAAAGGTAAAATGATTGCAATACGGTTCTGCATTTTTTTCTCGTTGTCATATTACTTTTTGCTGTTGCTGTATTTTTATTTGTTTGTAGCTCAACATATTTTAAGCAAATATAAGGTCCATTCCTGTTTTTGTTAAATGTGTGTGTGTGTGTGTGTGTGTGTAGGGATGGGCATACAAAGTAAGGCATCTCACGCAGGGGGCCATTCAAGCCAAGGCCGCCACTGTTTGGGATGCTTATTCACTCAACTTCAATTTGAGTTGTGTTTACTTGTAATACACTTATTTTATTATCTATATTTTGGTAACAATGTTATCCATAAATTTGGAACTATTATACTATTTGGTTTGCGAACAATTTGTTGAAGAAAAATAGCCTTGCACTATTTCCGGTTCCCAAACAGTCTTTGCACGGCAGCGGAAGGCTCAAATGTGCTTAATCACGTGCCATGTAAACATAATTTGTGCCAGGCGTCACACATTGCAGGGATTTTTTTTGTTCTACGTTCGCCCTCAGGAGTCTTTCACCTTTGGCCATGTTAAAAGAGCTTCGGTGTAAATCCTCTTCCATTTCTTGCATTTTAACACGCTACTTTTGAACTCAATACGTTTATTGCTTTTCCCGCCATATCTGTCACTTTTGGAAGCTCGACCGACAGCGGCTCTTGACGAGACGTCATTGCTGTCTTTTATGCTCGCGACGCCTTTCAGCGGAATCCCGCTCTCACTTGCTGCAGAAGTGCATGCCCCCTCCCCTTCCTCTTCCTTTTGTATATTTGTGAAGACTAGTTTCATTTTTCTCAGTTAATGGGCCATGTAGGCTGTCGTGCTCATTGTTGGGGCATCTGTGTGAAGTGACTTTGAAAACTTCTGTCTTCACAAAGATGAATTGTGCGGCTCGGAAGAAGGGAAAAAAAAAGTGGGGATGAATCCATTGACGGTGACTTCTTTGATAGACTATAGACGCATACTGTTACATACGAAGAAGATGCGACACAGGGGACAAATTGATACATTTTCCAATGGGGAGTGACAATGACACCATTGACAAGTGCAGATGTTATGCCATGGCAACCAGCGTGATGATGAAAACATGTCCTCAGGGTTATAGGGGTGCAAGCATGAGGGTCCAAGGTTAGAAAACAGGCGCCGCTGTGCTCTATCTAGTTGTGCTACACCTTTGTGTGACACACAATGATGTCACTGACAGTACCACGCAGCTTTAGAAACATTACATAAAAAGTCAAGGTTTGGACAACAATGGCGGCATTGATGACATGAGCGCGATCAAGAGGCCATTTTGCTCGCATTGGGTGTGTAAGAATGACTTGCTGCTGGCGTGTGTACATTTGACACACCGATAAGTTGTCACACTGGAACGTGACTGCAGGAATGTTCTATCTTTGAGAGCGTGATGAAAACACTCTCTGCCAGAAAGCATTTAAGTGGTTGCTACCCACCCACAAGAAGATCCATAATTATAGTCATAATGCCAATGTCTGGTGCACACATTTTGTTTTTGCCGCATGCTAAAAATGAAGAAGGAATGTTAAGCCAGCACTCACCTGGTCTCCAGGCTGAGGCCTCATCAAAGAGACTTGGTCGTAGCCTCTTCTAAAGAGAGCCCACAGAGCATCTAGCTGCCCCTGTAGAGGGGAGGGACACACACACACACACTCAGATAATTCATTAAAATACGAAGCATGCTTAACTCATTCACTCCCAAAGATGTTTTTAAACGTCTTTTCAGACTTGGTCCAGAATTGGCTGGAATGAGTTAAGAAAGAATTCCCGCATAGTTTGAAGACAAACCTGAATGGGCGTGTACCACCTCCTTCGCTGGGTGGGCCGGCGGTTGGGTTTGCGAGGCTTGGGTTCATAAGGCTCAAATTCCTGCTCTGGCATCTTGACGACAGCATTTTTGGGTTTGTCCAGCTTGGCGCCCTCCTCGGTGGAGCCCTTCTCCCCCCAGCGCACCTGCAGGAAACACATCAATGAAAAATAGCACGTTTTGCACCCAAGAAGCGCTGAATGTATCCGGTTGTGGACCTCCATGCGTTTAATGCCTCCCACTCCTCGTCCTCCGTAGTAAGACGCATCCACTGTGGGCCATCTCTTCTTGGGCATCCCATCTTCATCGTCCGATTCCTTTGGAGAGGAAAGGCTCACTTGCAGCAATCCATTTGTTATAGCCATCAAATGTTTGAAAACTGTACTTGGCAAAGGAATGAAAATGAGCTTCTAATGTTTCAAATGTCTTGAGTGGGATAGCAATTAACTTCAACCATTTATAACGTCATTGGGAAACACATCTCTGAATTCACTTTTGCAGGGTCTTTAATTTAGCAAATGTGTTTTAAATTTATTGCAGCAATTATAACCCCTCAAAGGGAAATTGAACTTTGACTTTGATGTACTGCATATTTATATTTTTGCTGAACACCACACAGAGAACGACCCATGTAGGCATACAAAATGAGCATAAAAAGGGCAAAGGGGAAGGTGCCCTGCTCAAGGGCACCTTAACGGTGATCAATAAACTAGCATCACTCAAACAACTGATTTCCTTGGGTTTTTTTTGTTTCTTCCACTTCCAAAGCTCAAATCCTCTTAGATGAACTACTGTTGCCCAAACATGGATCAGCAAAGACTAGAACTACTATGAAAAGTAATATTTTGTATGTAAAAAATTAAGGCGGCACAGTGGACGACAGGTTAGCATGTCCGCCACCAGTGCAGAGGTGCAGGGTTTGTGCAAAGAAAAACCGAAAAATTAGACACCTTGAGAAGGGGCTGCAGATAGGGGAATACCCTTCCAGGATGAGGTGCAGCGCTGGCACAATTCAAATGATGCCATTCTATTACTGCATTTTTGAAAATTTGTCTTTTAATATTACAGTGGTTGACTTATTTTCACACTTATATGACCGTGTTCAAATGCACAATTGATAATCATTTTAAAGATAGCCAGAAATAGATTGCATTAACAATCGGCATGTTATACAGTATATACTTACAGGTTCTGGGGGAGGTGGAGGGGGAGGTTCTTTGATGACCTGAAGGTTAAAGAAATAAAAATCATATTAATATAATGGGCCCGAAAGAGTTCTTTGCAAATGAAGCTAAAATGCTGAGGTGTCAACTTACCACAGTGCAGCAGAGAGGCCAAAACCACCACATGAGCAGCAGGGCCAACAGCAAGAACACCACCAGCAGAGAGATCAGCACGATGGTGCCGTCAAACTGCACAAACGACGCATGCACAATGACGGCGGTGCAATTAGACCAAGAGAGAGATAAATGGAGCAAAACTTGTGCCGCTGTGCAATCAGAGTACTCACAGCCTCCTCTGATGACACACGCAACAGAGAAGACGTCAGAAAGAAGAGAGGAAGAAGACTGGAGGAAATCCAAAGGAAGTTTTGAAAGGAAAAGGGAAGTTGATTAAAATATGGGTCCACAGCACGCACGTTATCTACTCACACATTCAGTAGTTGTGATGTGAACCGAGCTGGTGATGTAGGAGATCCCCTCATTCATGCTCACCTGCAAGTAGATGACCCTGCAAAACACGGACAACATACTCATGGTGGTGGCTTGCTTGGACTACTTGGTCTACTCTACACGCTTGCCTGAAGCGGCCTGAACATTCCTCCATGTGCTCTGTCCATACTTGTGCTCTCTAAAACGCTGACATGGGCACTTTCCCAGAATCCACAAAAAAGGTCAAGGGAGTTCTCCGTCAAGTTGAATGATGTCTCATTCAACTGCCACTAGGAGCGGGTGAATGAATGTTTTTTGTTTAACTTGTTGATGCTTCGTGAAATTGTGGTGATTCACGCATGGATAATAGAGTAAAATTGTAAAAAAAAAAAAAAAAAAAAAAAAAAAAGGCAAAAAGCCATATCACGGCATGGTGATCTACTCGTTCGCATGTCCGCCTCACAGTGCAGAGGTGCAGGGATGGATTCTGGCTACGGGCTTCCTGTGTGGAGTTTATATGTTCTCCTCGTGGTAATCCGGTTTCCTCCCACATTCCAAAAACATGCATGGCAGGTTAATTAAACACTCGAAATTGTCCCTAGGTGTGATTGTGAGTGCAAATGGTTGTTCGTCTCTGTGTGCCCTGCGATTGGCTGGCCACCAGTTCAGGGTGCATCCCACCTACTGCTCGAAGACAGCCGGGATAGGCTCCAGCACGCCCTCGACCCTCGTGAGGATATGTCGATTAGTAAATGGATGGATGGATGGAAAAAGCTAACCACCAACAACTGAAATAAAACTCTCTTGATACATTCGTGAAAAACTAATGGAAACTGCGCACTTGGCCAGACTTTTAATCTACCGTACTTTGTAATATGAAAAACTGGATTCACCATTGAGCGTGAAAACATTTAGCTCTTTCTTGACGGCTGAATGGACGGATTTGTTTGTCAGTGACCAAAACAAAAGATGCTAGCAGCCAAAGTGAGAAGTGGCAAAGGAGGCAGCTGCAGATTGTAGTTCTTGGTTGAAGGAAAAGAGCGGAGAAAGGCTTCTTGTGCTGTGCTTATGGTTTGGGGGGACAGAGACAAGGGGGGCATTGAGCTTTGGGTCCACATTTGAGGAGAGGGCGGTGACGGGGGTGGGGGGTGGGGGGGAGGTCACTGCAAGGTGGGGTGTGGATGGAGAGTGTGTGGGGGATGGGATGAAGAGGACCTTTTCTGTCTGAAATCCCTTCAGCACTATCACTCCCTTCTGAGACCCCATGAGACACCCCCTTCCCTCCATCACCCGCTGACTTCCTCACCCACCAACATTACACTTGCTCTCCTCCATACCCTCAACACAACTGTTCCTTGACTCATGCTGTCACCGACTTGGGAGGAGGAAATCGGCAGTGCAGGTGCCGCTCTTATACCCCCCCTGCCATCGTACGGTCAGGGGACATGCGGCTATCAATCTCTATCAATCACCATCTCCCCCACTATATGTGTCTTTGCCCTGTGTTTATGTGTGTGTTTGTGTCGTCGCATCCGGAAGGATTGCAGTCAACACTGATTTATGTGAAGCCAGCATCAATGTCTTCATTCTAAGAGACAAGGCTCGGATAGAGCAGGAGGGGATCAAGGGGCTTCAAGGTCTGGTTGGCAGCCCGAAGGACAGGAAGTGCATATAGCGGTAAAGGTGGGGACCAACGCAATTGTTCGCTTCCCGTTGAAGCAATGAATCTGGCTGCGGTTGCACCAACAGTATGTTGTGTGCGTGTTAGGTGCAATTTTCCACAGTCCATCAAGCGTCAATTGGTCTCCTCTTTGGGCCCTTTGGCCATTCACAGCTGACTTGCTCTTTAGTGGAACGCAAGGGTGTCAAAGAGTGCTGACTGTGCACTAATGGGCTTCAGCTACATGGAAAAATGGACTCCTTCGGGCACCGGGTGTTGATGGTGCACCACATTCTTATTTGGTCTCACAAAAAACAAAAACAAAAAACAAAAAAGAGGGAATAGAAGACGCTTCACGCTTTTATGACTGGATGTTTTAATAAATTATTGAACGCATTTGAAAGCAGTTTAAAATGCACCTAGGGGTTTTAGTTTAATTTTGCCATGCAAAAATATGTCATTCTATATAATCGAAATAGTATATTCTATAAAATTAAAGACACATTCTAACACAATGGTACTTTGACTTATTAGAGCCTTTATTTATTTAAATTATTTTTTTTTTTTTTTATATATATATATATGGGTGGGTGGATGAAATCGTCTAAATTGAAAAATGGAAAATAATATGCATGTATAATTTTTCAATGGATCCCTATCCCTCCTCAATCCATTGTCTGCATCACCTTTTCTTGGGTGAATTGAGCCCAGTTAACTTTTTTCAAAATCCGTCTGTCACTGTTTGTATATCTATTGAAACTCATGACGTATAATACAACATATCAAAGAGTCTTGGGCAAAAGCAAAATTCCTCTTCCCAATTGATGTCGGCTATGATTCCCTATAAACCAACTTCTTCGCGGACGAGCTCAAATCACACAAGAAATCTGAGTGACAGCACCAAGACAGATGATGACTAGGAGGTGTCTGAAGCCGCAGGGAGGCAGTGGATAATTATGCACAGGCCTGCGGGGCAGCGGGGCCGGGAATGCTGCTGGGCCTCGGTCCACTTGGAGCTCAGCCCAGAGCCGCGCTCTGTCTGCCCCACTCGAAAACTTCCACTTGCAATTACCAAGGGCAGGGCTGCAAACGCTTGGAGGAAACTTTACACTCATGGCCGCTTCCCCTCGCACTCTTTCTCTCTCCTTAAAGTGTCAGCCGCAGACTGGGATACCACACACGCGCGTTCATATTTACACACATACGGAAAGGAGGGGGGCTGTGAAGGTCTAAACCAGGAGGCGCTCATTAAGTCGTGTTCCTGGGCTCTCCTCCTGTGATTGGTGTCTGCCTTCGTTAGCTGTGACAAACTCTGATTGATCGCACCCACGCTCGGTGACTTTGGCCAAGTTTTCAAGGATAAATGGTGTGGCGGATAAATCGGACTCACGCACGCAACCGGGTAAAATATGGACTGCTAAGTTTGATCTCTCTATAAAAAAGTGTGAGGGTTAAAAATGACAAATGATGTCCAACTCACCTCCCTGCCTCTTCGACAACAGGAGCAGGACAGAGAAGGAATGTATCCTCTATTCCGGCTGGTCTCTCATCTGAAATTAAATCAAGATTGTCTAGATGTGAGATTTTTTTTTTTTTTTTGCAGATTGAGAAGGAAATTATGTATAACCAGTTTATCAAATGTAATATTCCAATCATACATTCTACACATGTCTACACAACTACACTTTTACTCAGACGTAGTCCTATACTCTTCTATATCCTGTGTTGTTTCACTCATCTTACCCTAGCTTAGGAAAAGCATACGAACCACAATCCCAGGAAGGGACACAAGGTCAGGGCAACCTGGCCGCCTAGCTTAAAATACACATAAAAGCCAGGTGCAAGAGTAAACAAGTATTTTTGAATAAAACAAGGGTTGAAGTCTTCATACACGTAATGTCAAATTGCTTCTTGTATTGATTGTACTGTTGTAATTCTTGTAACTCTCAATAAAAGCTCAGGTAGGAGATGAGACTCCAGAGATCCGACCAACTCGCTGTGGTTTCATCTCTCCTAGCCAGAATCTTGCCTTGGGTGTCCGTGTCCCTTTGTCTCTAAACTTCCAACTTGTCGTGGCGACGGTTACTCCAACACAATCGGCAGGATTCTCCCATGACACAGATGAGGAAAGTGTTCCCACTGTGCTGGTGCTCCACAGTGAAAATCCAAAGTAAAAGGCTCTCGAGGTTGTACAATCCTGCATCATTCCAAATCCGCAAAAAACAAGAAGGCCGACTCGCGTTGTAATAGAGGACAATATCATTATCTACTATCTAGTGCTGATTTGCGGTATCACTTAAAACTACAGTCGGCCCTTGCATTTTCATAGTAAGGCACGCATGGATTTGCATATTTGGAGATTTAAAAAAATATATCTTTTCAAAGTTTGGATTTTTCCCTGTTCCCATTGCTCAGTTTTTCCTGAACATACCTGTATATTGGGCATTAATCAAATGCCCCCCCCCCCCCACACACACACAAACACATTCCTCCATGCATTCCCGTTATCCTGACTGAGAGTCTGTCTGCCAGCACAACTTACCGACAGTGTGTGTGTCATTTAGTTTGAAGCTGCAGCGGACCTGGTCGATGTTTCTGGCATGGAGAAAGCCGTTTCCTCTCACCACCACCTGAAAGTTCTCTGAGAGACAAACACTGCCCTCATTTCATTTCATACACACCAACAACATGAAGACTTTTTTGGGGGGGTGATAAAAAGAACTGAACCGTTCTGCAACTTAGTTTTCGGAAGACTCAGGCTCAATGGGAAATGATCACCATTACAGACATTTCCTTTCTCTGGTGCACTCAAGCCCAATCATGCCTCATTATGATTTGTTTATATCCAAGAGTCTGTGTGTATACGTACAGAAAGTCCATAACATGTTCCAATGGTACTAACGCTCAAAGTGCTTCTATTCCAAAATATCTTGGTATGTGTGTGCAGTAGCCACGAGGCGTGTGTGCATGGTGCATGTGCGTCTTTGACCTTTACTTTCCCTCGGGCGCTGTTAAAGTGCACTGACAGGGCCTTGCCAGCATATGCTGCAGTGTCGATGTGGTTGCTTCTCAGCATATGTTGGCGAGCGGGAAGAAAACACTTGGTTAAAAAACAAGCCTGCGGGCTTGACAACAGCACAGTGCTGTCAAAGTGGGTCGAACCTTACCTATGGCACAATGCATGACGTCTGCACATGTTGTGTGTTTGTGTGGACTGCGTGTGTTTCTTTGCCTTTTCCTGAGCCGAGTGGAAGCAGATAGTGTGTTTGCGTTCTGACTGTGCACCTCTAGCAACCTCCCGGCTAATAGAAATGAACATCGGTCACACCTTTAACATTTAAAAACGCCAGCGTAAAGATCACTGCATTAAAAACACAGCAGTGTGTTGGCGTATACGTGGCACTACTCTTTGAAAGGTCACACCAGACACGACACAAGTCTCTGCTGCGAATCTAGACATGCTTTGGATGTTCAAATGTTGCTGTTTTGTTGGTATATATGTTTTATAGTACTGTCAAATGTAAATGACAAAGTACAAATGAATTTTATTTTGTGAGTGAAACAAGATGGCATAAAGATTGTGCTTTTGTTGACTATACTGAACAGCCATTCTTTTTTTTGTCATTAAACTTTAAATAGTGAAAGGAGTGAGGTACAGTATATTAGGTTAGTTCCCTGGAAGATCGCATGGAGATTATATTAGTTTCAACACACACTAGCTGTCACGTACAGTGGCAGGCAAAAAGGTTAATGCTGTCACAATCATGGCGGGCCAGGACTGGTGGCGCGCTACTGACTTGTACCATGCATATGTTGCTGCCCGCCACTTTGACCACATGTCCATGTCCATCTTCACCTGAATGTTTGACGTGCATGAATGTGACCGTCTATATGAAGGATACATGTTTGATGTTTTTTTTTTTTTTTTTCTGTTGTTATGCCGCGACACTTGTGTGCGTGGAGAAAGTGGGCTAAGGCTTGTCCGAACGGCAGCCCTTCAATCACGTTAGTGCAAGAGGACAGCGAAGGGCAGGGCGGGGGCCACGCAGGAAGGAACGACGGGGAGGAATGGGTCAGGCGCTAATGAAAGCAGCAATCTTGGCTGTCATGTTAGATCTCTGGGTCAATGTTATGCCTACGTATGTGTGTGTGTGTGTGTGTGTGTGTGTGTGTGTGTGCGTGCGTGCGTGCGCGCGTGCGTGCGTGCGTGCGTGTGTGCGTGTGTATGGAGTCAGTGCTGTCATATCTGATAGTGTGGCCCAATGTTCACTGTCCAGTCTGATGGCCTGTTTGCAGGCAGCTCAGCCTGGTCACTTCACATCAGTGTGAGGGACCTGTGTGTGTGTGTATGTGTGTGTGTGTGTGTGTGTGTGTGTGCGTGTGCTCTTAAAGAACAACTATACATGTTAAAAGCCTGACTGGCATAGATAGAGACAATAGTAATGATGCAATATGTCGAGATGGTGGTAATAAAATGCTGACCGGTGCTAGACAATAACATTGTCTTGCGTCACGCTACAGCAATCATATGCGTTGTATAGCACACATGCTGTGATTATTTCTACACGGCTTCATTTAATAACAAAGGATGCACACTGGAGTAATAGGCTGAGTGCATTACAGTGGCTGCCCTTCATTAATTAGGCCAGAGTCAAGTTTTGGCTGGAGTGAGTTTCTTAGTTCACTGACCATTAGGCTGCTCATCAATCGAATAACAAATGAGGCTGTTGGAAAATATTTGGGAGCATGTCGGCTGATAAACTGGCAATAAGCCAGAGAAAATTATCACATGAGGACACTGATTAAGCCCCTTCTTACTGCTATAATGATCATCTTCTCAGCCTTTCCTTTCCTTTCCACTTAACCATTTCTATATAACAGTAAATAGCAGCAAATATCTTTCATTACAGTTACTGTAAATGTAGGTGGAGTCGTATAAGCAGCGACTGTATTTTATCTTATATTACTCTATGGTTGTTATAGGATTGCTAAAACAACAAATCTAATAATGCACAGTGCTATTCATGATCATTTTTCGAAAATCTCATCAAGATTTTTTTTCCAGGCTGTAAATGCACTCTCCGAAGTGATTCCTAATAAGGTCATGTCAAAGCTCCTCCATACCGCAGACTTGCACAGAGGCTCGTGCTCCATCTTATTTGGCATTTTTTTCCCTTTTACTTCTTCAAAGTGGCATCCAAAGGCCATGCAAAGATGGGAGGAGAGGCCAAAGTAGAGGGTGAATGAGCCAGAGTGGCTATTCAGCATTATACGATGTGGCAAACTAGGCCAGGGAGCAAGCCATGCTTAAAGATTCATGGCTAATTTCTCTCCGACCAAGTCCAGTTCCTCCCCCTCCCCTTTTGGCCCACATGCCGGGGCCAAGTGACTATGCTAATCTCCCCCGGCCGCGGATGACAATACGCTGTGTGTCACCGCACGGCCATAAGCCCATGTGCGATTACTCAACTTCATGGTCCGCTCCAGAGGCTTTGGATGACTGTCATCTGACAGAATCACACCCACACATTACTGCTTCGGTGTCTTAACGAGGAAACCTTGCTCACCGCACCGCCCTTACCTCCCGCACACACGCTGGATGGCTCAGCTGCGAGGATCTCGATGCAGGATTTCTTGATGATCTAAAGCACACCACAATTTGATGAGATGACACAATTTAGTGTGTTTCATTGTATATTTGTGTGGATGTATGTGTTACCGAGTCAATGATTCCCCTGAGGGCTTGGAAGCCCCCCCACACAGGAAACACATGTTCCATAGTGTCCGCAATGGTCGCAAGCTAGAGAAAGCACATACACACGGAGAATGTTGCATTTGCTTTGTCGCATGTTTATACATATATTCTCTTTGCTTCTGTTCTTCCCACCTGGGTTTGGTTAAACTCTTTGACTCCTACACAGTAAACAATGGCTCCCATAGACCTGGCCCTTTGAGCCTATGAGGATGGAACACAAAAACGAAAAAAAAAAAAAATGCAGTCAAGCCAAAAGGGTCACCACCAGTGTTGCTGTGACTTTTCCACCACCTGAAAAAGCCATCAGATACTGAACGCTCCTCAATTTTTTTGTGTGAAATGATTGGTTTGACACTTATCATCTTATGTACTGTATATTAGCACACCGAGAGGAAAGAAACTCAGAAACTAGAAAAAAACAGTGACTAGCTGCACCAAAAGGATGAAAGACACTAAATGTTACATTGCTATTATCTCTTTTCAAGAATGAGCAATAAAATAGCGATTGAGTTCACGGCCAGCCAGTATTTAGATATGAAAAAGTCCTGGTGATAATAAAACCAAACATCACGCAACCTGTGGTTTTCTGACTTGTAAATCTAACATTGGCTTTTTTATAATATTTAGGTTGGAAAACATATGTTTTGAAACAAAAAGCTAAACTCTATATGGACTGTAAACCAAAGAATTTAATCTTATGTCAGCCATTTTGAAAAATGGCTGCTATTTGGGTCATGGATCAAATCTGTGATGGCCCGATAGCTAAAATTATTCCTCTGCGTCTGTTCTAACTAAGTGCCAAATTTTCCTGCTTTTATCATCTACTGAGCAGTTCTTTGATAGATTGCGCCAATCCGCGTAACTCTATGTCCCACAGGCTGTCCCAGAGACTTCAAAAAGAGCCGTGAAATATTTCCATGAAAGCAACTCCTCGTCCCATATTACCTCTCGCTGAGCTGTGTCAAACTGCCACTCGTTCAATTCCCCGTCAGTCAACGCGATGATAACACTGGCTGTCCCTGTGAAGCACGTAAAATTCAACGCCTGCGAAACAATGTACTGGAGTGTCACGTACATCGACGGTAGAAAGAGTTTACCTTGATTCTCTTGATATATCTGTGCATTTGCCTACCAAAACAGAGACATAGTCTGAATATTTGACTCGTTGCTTAATACCTGTTTAATTCTGTGCTAATGCAGATATTGAATGACACCATTTTCAAGTTGCCCCTACCATTTCCAGACCAAGGTTCATAAATGTATCTCCTCCAGCAATCACACTTTTTAGAGCTCTGAGCCCACCAGTGATGGCCTCCCTGAGGGACACAAATAGAGCGTGAAAAAATCACCACCAAAGGAATTTGAAAAACTTAAAAAAATGAAATTGAGAAATATTTCCAGTCGAACAAATGTAAGGAAGGATGCACTAAATGTGCAAAATAAAGCAGTATGCAGCATGTATGCAATTTACACAGTTTGCAGTCTATTTAGAGAACTTGATATATTTCGTACAATTTCCTGCAAAGAAAAAAGTAGATTGGAGCGTGTGGAGCAACTGCTTATTGTTTCTTCCACTGTCATGAGGCAGTGTATGAGGCTTTTTGCTTTGGCTATATTATGAAAAAAAAAAGCCTTGCCCATGTTATGACAGAAACTTGTGTTCAAAAGGAGAATGACTTCAACAGAAACGGGATGTGGCGCTCTCCAGCATCTGAGCATTCCATCAGCTTAAAGGCTGAGGGTAAATGGCGGCGAACTAAAAAAGTAGGGCCATAATTTGAATCTGCACCCAAAACGTAGTGGACTCTGTATTTTGGACGACATGCTACATCCAATTTTGCATGCAAAATCAGCGATGCATTTTCCACATAAACATGTCATAAACAAATGTCACATAAAAAAACAACCTCCTGGGACAGAGCTAAACATACAATACAGATGTGTGCTGTTTCTTTACCTGTTCTCAGTTAACTTCATGATGATTTTGCCATGCGTGGAGAAGACGATGAAGGACATTCTCAACATGGGACTATGAACACACAGTTTTTTGGACATTCATATTCTCAAATCACAAGTTTGACAGAAAATGTAAATGATAGTAGCCGCATAGATCTGCTTAGAATTTTAGATTTGTGTAATATTTTTGACATCCCCGCGCCCCTTGTGAGGATAAAGTAGTTTAGAAAATTAATGGCTGGATGGATTTTTGACATTTCCCCCCCCACACATTAACACATTAGAACATAGGACAAAGACCATGACCTTCTAATATCCCCCCCCCTCCCGAAAAAATTCTGCAAAATAATTGGCCAATTTTTCTCTCTGTTGTAAAGTTAATCAATCACAAAAGAACAAAGTATGGTTAAACAGCCAGCCATATTTACAATAATGACTGTACCTGATAAATTTCTCTGCCAGCTGCTCCACAAAAGAGTAAATTTCGATCCAGTGATGCTTCACACTTCCAGATCTGTAAAAGAAGAAAAAGCACTGTTGGCAGGGATTTAATTTGTTGCAATTTATTTTCTATTATTTGGAAAACAAGAGGAAAAGTCACATATTCATATTTTGACACACCTCCAATGAAACTCACATTGTTAATTCACCAAGACAAATGAAGATGTACAACTTCGGAGCAAGTGAAAACGGTTGCTAGCATTAGCATGTTTTAATTTTGCAGAATGCAATAGTGGTGGTATGATATGAATAGGTCTCTGGTCACCTGCCACCTTTTTACATTGTAACCTGTTAGCCTTGCTGCTTAGCCTCCTACATGCTGCTACTGTTTACATGACTGTATCCATAATGAACCCCAGTCCCAGGGGGCTGCTAATGGGGGCTAATTGCTGTTTGGCCAGAGGGGTGAGGTTTGACTGGGACAGATGCAGCAGCCCTTAGCAGTGAACATGTAGCGGGCAGCTGGCCCGCGTGTGTCCATGTGCATGTGTGTGTATGCCCGTTTGGTTGTTTGTGTGTGGCAGTGAGGGGGAACAGATGGTGATGAGCACAGGCAGCCTAACAACAGGTTGAGGGAGAGAAAAGGCAGTGTCATGAACAAGAGAGGGGTGCACAAGTAGCACTCGGGGGTGGGGGGGGGGTGCGGGGGGTTGCAATGACATCAAAAAGCAGACATGGAAAGAGGGTGGCGGTCTGAAGAGTGTAACAGGCTTGTAAAAGGAAAGTAAGTCAAAGCTGTTTGGATTCATGATGCTTTTCTTTTGTACCACCCGTTTAATCAGCCACTTCCTGCTCCACTTATCCTTTTCCTAGACAGGAGGACATGATAAAGGTTCCAGAAAGCGTCTGCTTGGGACACAGTCTTCACAATACCATATAAGGGCTTCAAAGTGCTCCTTCAATTTTAGGATTCTAGATGGCCCCAAATAAACAGAAGAGGGCTTTGTAGGCAGTCTTCTCATGGTAATTAGTGCCATTTTTAATTGGAAAACCAAAGCTAAGCATTACTTTCTTTTAGTTTCTGAATAGTCAGGGTCGATGCATTTAATGCACATATGCTAATAACAAAATTATTAACAGTACTGTACACCTTTATCCAATAAGTGTGGTGTCTTTGTCCCACCACTAGAGGGACTCTGGAGAGGAGTTTAGTGATGGGGAGCACAACAGGGAACAAGGAAGAAGACAGAGTATGAGTGGAAGTAGGAGTAGTAGTAATCATACAGTTTGCTGAAACACTAGATGACTATTGGTACCTCTTAAGGTAAAGAAAAAAGAACTACGTGTGTGCTTCTTTGGAACACAAGAGCAAGTCAACGTTTTAAAATATAGTGTAAACCTTGAAGTCTAACAGTTTAGAATTTGACCAAAATTCTGAAAGCATAACCAAACAATCAACTCTGAAATGCTGCCGTGACATCATGCCACAGTTTAGGCTAGCTTTGTGTTTGAATATCCACAATCTATGTTTTAAACAGAAGTGGATAATTGAGGTCCACAAAGTAAAATCCCTGCCACAGTTTGGCTTTAGCTACAAATGTTTCTACTCAACCGGCAAGTAAACAAGCTCATTTTGAGTAGAAGCACCTGTGGGTAAAGGCAAACTGTGGCGGGGTTTTTACTTTTTTTTTTTTTTTTTAACAAACCAGAACAAATAGCAAACCAGAACAAATAGCAGGTTGACCAGTGTGGTGAGATGGATTGTGTTCGACATTTGTGGGTGCACGGTAATTTCTGGCATTAATCCCATTTTTTCTCTACATGCTCTAATTCCTCCAAAGGCTCCAGTTCTGCATGATTGCCATCCGATTTTCATTCGAGAGACTAATCCTAACTCTTTTACATGTATTGACACACTTTTACAAAGAAAGCAGTCTGCATGTACTTAATTCTTGAGCACGGACGTCAATTCCACCACAAACTCGAACACATATTTCTCTATTTGTGGGTTACAAAGGAAATAGTTAGTCTGCTATTTGGTGTTGGTCAGACATTGAGTGTAGGAATGCAGGGAGCTGATGATCCTTTTTCCATTCTGTCCATCTAGATCTATTTTCTCAACATGCTGGATGCCATAGTTCTCTCCCACTGAGGTGCTGTTGAACAGGTCACCATGTGGCATTAAAGGGAAAAAGGCCAATAAGTTGGTTTTGAAGAAAAAAAAGAAGAGCAGCTTCTTCCTGGAGGCCTGTGGAGACATGCAGAGGTCCAAGCACTGGGAGCGCTGGCCATGCGTGACGCATGCTCCTCGGGCTCCTCTTAAACTTTCGGAAGCAAAGGGTAAAGAGTGAAGAGCAGCTGACAGATGTTGCCGTGGACACCCCAAAGAGTGAAATGTCATTCAAAGTGTTGACTTCGCAGCTCCAATGGTGAGTACAAGACAAACTGAGGACATGTTACAACAAGTTACGCAAATCACTAGATGCTTGAACAAAATTGATTCAACCACTCTAATTTACCCTGAACAAATAAAGGCTTGACATTTTACCAGGTCCCATTTTTTCAGCCTTATCTGTACACTGGTCTGCTTGTAGCACGTTTTGACATGTCTAATCGCTCTGCAGCCATCCGCATCATTTTTCAACTGGAGGCCAGAAATGATAAAAATGTAAATAATCATGTCTGAGCAGCTCCCAATATGCACACAGTAAATTACACAAGCGCAGTAAACTGGCATCATCTGAACTGAACATTGACCCAAAGAAAATCATCCACGTAATAATACGGTGGGCGCAATATTGGAATATAGAACTTATTTTGTGCAAGACATGGCTACTCATGACTAGAAAGCCCTTAGTGTTGTTGCACCAAATTCATTTTCAACTCATGTTGTAATCAGGGGTCCCCAACATGGTGCAGGTGGGCACGATGTCGCCCTCAAGGGTCCTGTGTACAGTTCTGTTCTAAAAATAGCTCAGCTGTGATGGGTCATTGTGATTTACTGGGTAGATTGTAGCATTTAAAAATGTTAACCAGTCCAGGGGGTACCCCACCTCTTCTCAAAAGTCAGCTGGATCGCCTCCAGCTGAATGTATGGAAGGTCAGTAAAATCGACATCACTTTATTGAGTCAAAACTGATCTTTGTTGGGACCAAATTTCTCATACTGGTTCCCTTTGGATTGTGCAGCTGTACAGAGGCCAGAAAACGTATTTATTCGTGTAATAGATTCCCAATATCAAACAATAGCGAAGTAGATGTGGATTGTAGATTTGAAGCGTGCACAGAACAGAACTTGGAGACAACTTGCACGGCTCGGCTGCAGCTGTGTTCGCCTGGCCGGCAGGGAGGCGTCAACGGCCTGAAACTCAATCCTGCCTGGCCCAGCCCACATGCCGCGGCTCTGCTTGCTCTCTTTGCCTCGGTGTTATGAACCGGGCCAAAAGAACAACACGGCCCAACAAAAAAATAAAAAAAATAAAAGCCCATCAAGTCTGTGCGCACTTGAACGGATGCAATCCTAACCGCTCGCACAGCCTATGCTTCATTGTTTGGGATCTTTGTCATCGTTTAACGAGGGGATTTCCCAGTTCGGTTCGATTCTATCCTGGTTCTTATTTGTCCAACGGGACGCCGACGCATCAGGCCGTAGTGCCACGCGTTTTCCAGCCCACGGGGCGGTTGCGCGGCTAAGCGCAGCCATGAGAAAGTAACAAAAGCCATAAATAATGAGAGACACTCACTTGTCCAGAACAAAATAGAGGTCGAAGGCGCCCTGGCAGGACCTTTCCTCCTCCTCCTCCTCCCCCTGCTGTTGTCCCTGTTGTTGCACTCCTTTCACCGACACATGGAGGAGGAAAAGTCCCAGCAGAAGCGAAGCGAGGATCGTGTGGATGCGCCTCCTCGCCATCTTTCCCCCGCTTGCGTTCGAGCTTTCCAGCAACAGCGCCGCTACTCACTGCAAATCTTCACATCGTCCCCCCTCCAACATCCGCTAACACATTGATCGACGTGTCTCAAGTTTTTCTTCTGCGACGTGAGGCCGGGCCGTGTCGCTCCGCACAGGCGTGGACTGGAAGCCGGCCTCCCCTAAATCTCGCCTCTTGAGACTGGGGTGGAGGAAAAAAAAAAGAAACGTGAGGCTTGCACAGGATGGAGGAGAGGAGCGACACCCGAGGAGAGTCTCTAAACTCCACTTAACTTAAACTCCACGGTAGTAGATGTAGTATAAATGCAGTATGCACTTATTTATGTTTAGTGTGTAAGCACACATTAAGTAATTCATTCTAAACTACAGTAGCTATAAACAATATTCCCAAGAAATACAAATCACCACACAAGCTTAGTGTCATTTTAATGTAACACAATTTTGATTTATTGTTGCCCACTTACCCCTCAAGTGGAGTTGTAAACTGTTGCCTCCATGGCCCTGGGACCAGCATTTTCCTGTTGTCACAACCTACTTTTAGACAAGTTATAAAAATATCCTTCAAAGACACGAATATCATGTTTTTAAATGTAAGTACACAATGCTTACACGTCCACAGTTCTTCACGCGCACCTTTTTAAAAAAAAAACAACAACAGAGAATTAACATCTAAAAGAATAAAATTGTAATGATAATTGCACAACATACAGCCACAAATTTTTGCTTTTGTCTTGGAATTGTTTTCTTCTTTTTAGGAAAGTCTCTTCCACAAATACTTGTACCATTACACCCCAAGTAATAACCTTTCTGATACAGACTTGGTAAAATGTTATTGTCCTAAACAGTTTGACCCGAGATGCATGATAGATACGAGTATTTCTGTGCTGTGTACAGGAAGTCCTCAGCTTAGAACAGCGTTCATCACCGATACAGATTTAAACATAAATCGGGATGTGGCAAAGTCTTATCACTAACCTACGCTGCCACAGTAGTGTCAAGTCAAAATTAAATAAAATTTTACATGGAAAAAAAACTGAATATAAAACAATTGAATGAAAAACAGTAAGTCATAGGTAATGAACGTGTTTGATTGATATAAACATTTTTTTCAAATGACAAACATGGACATACATATATTTTTTTTTACAGGAGAGTGACCATTTTGGGATTATGGCATCTTCAAAGATTATTTACACAGCAAAAGCCTTGTTCAGTCTTACCCTTTTTCATATCCATGTTGCTTTGTTCTCATACACACAATGTGTTCAAACTTATTCCAACATGAAAGGACTTTTGGTCAAAAAAGAATAGTCAGAATTGCCAAAACTTACTTTGAATAGCGTTTATCTATAAGTAGCTTGAAAATGCACTGCAATAGTCATGCACAGATACATTTTCAAGATGCTGTCATGTTGAGCCACACAAATCTAATCACACTTTGTGGTCTGCACTTTAATTTTCCAAAACTCCTTCTTTGAAACCTTTTGTCAGATGTTTGTATAAATATGTTTTGTGTATGTTTTTAACAGCAGCCTACTTGATCTTTTGGATAGCAATAATTGTATTTTCCTCTTAAATGTTGTCAAAGCCATGATGTTTTGTTGATTGGCAGAACACAGTAGTTTTGCCTTCAACCTCTTGTATTCCAGAATGTATTTACAAATTCCCAAGATGTCTGCTGGGATACAACATGGACATCTAGAACCTTGTATTTTCTAGGTTGTTGCACAATTGGAATGTCAGCTTTTCAAAAAGCTTCTGGCATTTTTCCCCTGAGGGAAATTTGATTAAATATCAAGAACAATGAAACCTTCTTTCTGATTAACTGAAATTTTTGTGGCCATGTAAAGAGCCACACCAAATTACGAAACTGAATTAATCCATTAAATGCTCATCAGACAGATACATTCAGACTATTGGCCCAGTGGCAAACCTGACTTACGCTGCATCTTACCGTGCATAAATGTAACATTGCCTAATAATGGGGTGATTAAATATCAAGAACAATGAAACCTTCTTTCTGGTTAACTGAAATTTTTGTGGCCATATAAAGAGCCACACCAAATTACAAAGCTGAATTAATCCATTAAATGCTCATCAGACATATACATTCAGACTATTGTGTGTGACCAGTGGCACACCTGACTTACGCTGCATCTTGCCGTGCATAAATGTAACATTGCCGAATAATGGGACTCGAGCACACAAACTAGTCAAGTGTTACAAAATCGTTAATTGGGGCTTCCATGTTAATGTTTCTGTAACGGTTTTGGGCTAAACACTATTAATTGTAGTGGTTACACTGTTTCACTAAATTGGAGGCACATATGCGAAATAGCTTTCAGGATGTATTCTAAAATACATCCTGGTTACACTGTTTCACTAAATTGGAGGCACATATGTGAAACAGCTCTCAGGATGTATTCCAAAATTGCATTAAGACTGATTGGTGGTCACAACCAGTGAGGGCATTGTGAGTTTTGGGGCTGGATTTACATTGATGTCCCAAGAGCTGCATTTGCACTGGAAGATAGCTGCTCCATACGGAGAGGATATTTCTGCACAGTTGGTTTGATTCTGAACTCAAGATGAATGTATGTTTTGCTGTTTACGCTGACTTCATATCTGAATTGTGTCACTTGAACCTTGCAGTGAAAATCCTGACGCTTTTGCTCTTGATTCTTCCTCGTTTTTCCCAATCAGTCAAATAACCCAATGTTTCCCAGATGGTTCGAGAGGACGACTACACCACCGGTGTCTTCTTTTGGTTCAGATCTGTTTACCCCAGAGTGAAATTTAGACCATTCCAGTTCATTTTTTGAAACACATGATGTATTGCCGTTCAGTCCTGTAAACCACAATAACAAAGATATTTGTTAACATCCAAACTGGGCACCATCATCTTGATGTCATGTTATTTAATTATTTTTATGTCATGGGCTGTGGCCTAACATCATCATCACACGATTGCTTTCTACTCATTGGCTACTGGTCTCCTCCTCCCTGGAAAGACACACAAACCAATCAGTAGATCATTTGGATGAGTGGGTGGCGGTAGTAGTGGTGTCGTCTGCGCGTTTGCATCATTGTGCCACGCAGCAGCGGGTGTCGTGACGGACGGCGATAAGTGGGAGTGGGAGCTCGGAGGGGCGACAGTGCACATCAACGCTCAGTCGGATAACTTGCTCATCGTGGGACCACCTGGGAGCACGTCGTCACAGAACATCATCATGTCCAGCAGGTGAGCCCTCGCACCATCTACACTCTTGAGGGACTTTTTCCACTCATAGAGCAAATACACACGGGGTGTATTATATTATTTGATGCTTGCAACCACACGTGCCATTTTTACACCACGGCTACTCTTAGAATCCTCAATATCATCATTTTCTTTGCGATTGAACTTAAAGCGCGCACGGAGGAGGCAGTTGACGGCAGATGGAGGAAACAAAAGAAGAAACCGAGTGAAAAAAACTGAGACAAAGGACGTCAGTCCCGAATCATTTAGTCTGCGTTGGCTGTGCCCGCTTAACTCAATTGACACGCTACATACGACAATTGCATAAAAATGATCAGCGGCACGCTTCACTTCACGTCGTTTCACCGTTGCAACACCGCACGCCGATAGAAATCACATTTTATTTTACGTTAGAAAACAACTTTAGTTTGTAATCCACAATATAGAATGTAGCTGATAAGATTGTGAGGCGCTTTAATACAAAACGCCGCCCCCACCCCCGTTTCCCGAGAATGTTCTGAACCAGCATTTTAATCTACTAATGTATCAACATCATCATTATTTTTCCAGTTTAACGATGGATCACGCCGTGAGCTTGCAGGCTGCGCGCAACGGAGAGGAGCAGAACACGGAGGCCTTTTTGAAAGGAGGTCAGCTCTACGTGCGGACCACCAGGGACGTCCACCAGGAGGAGGAACTACTGGTGTGGTACGACCGGGAGCTATGTCACCTTCTGGGCTTCACAGAAACCTGCAGAGGCTCGGGTGAAGGTGAGGCTTTTTTTTGTTGCATTAATCAAGTGTTTGCAAAAATACATAACTACAGAATGCTATGAGAAGAATTTGTTTTGCCGAGATATTTTTTTTTGTAAAATAGGGATATGCTGAAAGATTTTAGCACACACATATCAACCACCCAATCATATCTTCATAGCCAATTTGGGATACATTTGATAATTTGCATGGTATCTTGATGCCTAGAATATGTTGGGATTGAAAAATATTGTTGTTTTTCGATTGGGAACAACACACCCCACGCCTTATACAAGTTTCTGGATTTTATTGGAGTTTCTTACTATTTAGCATGCAATGTTGGCATTTCTCACTGGATACAACTCAAAGATTTTTTTAAACTCACCTTGTATCAGCTATTACTTTTGTCAATCCAGTCTAAATATCATGGCATACTAGAAGATTGTCCATCCACCCAATGGTCAGTGTACTCGTTGCAGTTTACCACTCAAGAAAGGATCATCCATCCATTTTCTGATCTGGTGATCCTCACAAGGGTCGTGGGTGTGCTGGAGCCTATTCCAGCAGGTGTTGATCCACCTCAGATCTCGTCCTGGTCAGTTGGTGCAGAATCCAGACAGTGACTTCCAATTTGGTCATCGTCACCCCAAGTTGGGGAGGAGGGTCAGGAGAGAAAGTAGAAGCAGCAGTCGGTGATCCTCACAAGGGTCGTGGGTGTGCTGGAGCCTATTCCAGCAGGTGTTGATCCACCTCAGATCTCGTCCTGGTCAGTTGGTGCAGAATCCAGACAGTGACTTCCAATTTGGTCATCGTCACCCCAAGTTGGGGAGGAGGGTCAGGAGAGAAAGTAGAAGCAGCAGTCACGCAAGCCAACATGTAGTTCAACGATAAATGCAAGAGTAAAATTCCTTAGTTATGCTTTAAATATTTGGAGCAGCTCCCCATGGGTAGGGCATTCTTAAGCACTGGAGCTCCAGAAAAGAAAACGCGACACAACCTGGGGACTTCTTTTTGGCTTTCCGGGTCACGAAAAGGCCAGCATGTTGTGAACAAAGATTTGGCAACAGAACATACAATACCACTAAATCAACGAGATAGGAAGGTGTTCAGCCATGTAATATTTTATAGGTAACTCACAAAACCTTGAAATCGCATCTCAAATGGACTGGGAAGCAATGCAAGTCTCAAAACTTAATCTTTGGCGTTCAACTTGGCACAAGACTCTGCATTTGTTTTAAAGAGTTCTGTTGTTTTCAACTTGTTTAATTGATTAATATTTTTTTTTGTTTGCATCACTTTGTTTTAGCTGTGGTTGTTTTTAAAGTCGATTTGAGTATTGGAACACTAATATCTCGATATTTGTGTGTTTGCAGAGTTCAAATGTATCAGGTGCGAGCAGGTATTCAAGAATGAATATCCCTTCCTGGCTCATTGCCGTTTCTTTTGCCCGCAAATCTCAAGCGACACGTGGAGTCGTGATGTTCACGATCACAAGCACGTGGAAGTCAAGAGGCAGCGGCGTGTAACAGACTTCCATAATATTGCCAGAGATTTGGAACACAAGAAAAGCGACGCCGATGATGATGTTCCCTACGGGAATAAACGGAAATACCAGGAAACTGTTTACTTCAAAGGGAGGAAAACAGTCTTGTTGGAAAAAAATAATATTTCAAATGATGATAACATTACCCAACTGGACAAGATCCAGGATGAGGCTGGAGGAGATGCATCTGACTCACCATTGAAGATAAAAGCTGACACGACCAAAGTAGATCATTTGGGATGTAAAAATTCAACTTTTGGAGAGGAGACGGAAGCCAAATTGATGATTACGCATGACAGGTTGATGGACTCGGAGTCGAATACAGGAGAGAGCTCCGGTTTACACTCCAGCACTGGTAGCGCTTTTTCTTTAGTCCACTCCGGTCATCGAGAACAGAGAAGCGCTTTTTGTAAACCCAGTAAAAGGATCTCTGCGGGCGAACTGCATAAAGGTAGCCCAACAATGGTACCTTCAGCCAGCCCGGAGGAGATGAAAGAGACCTTCCCGCCCAGGACTGTTTCAGGATACACTAACCTGATGGCTCCTAGCATCCTTAGCAGTGATGTCCACACGTTGCTTTCCCCCATCACGCTAAACGCCCCCTTCCATTACGCATCAGACCACTGGTCAAGAACTGCTCAGGTCCAGTCCAACTCAGCTCTGACAGTCCTCCCACCCACCTTCACGTCCTTTGGTGTGTCAGTGCAAAACTGGTGCGCCAAGTGCAACCTGTCTTTCCGCATGACGTCTGACCTCGTCTTCCACATGCGCTCCCACCACAAGAAGGAGTTTGCCGCTGAGTCCCAAGTGAGGAGGAGGCGGGAGGAGAAGCTCACCTGCCCTATCTGTCACGAGTACTTCAGAGAACGACACCACCTGTCCAGACACATGACGTCACACAACTGAGACTTCACCTGCCAGAAGAATGATGTATTTATTCTTTAATTGAGGTTTCGCTATTTAATAGGTTTAGAATCCAGGATTCACAATGAGACTTCGATGTTAAACAGTGAATGTAGATAGCTGTAATAAAATAGCATATGGCCAATACAGCCTTGTCCGCTAGGGGGCGGCAGAGGTACATGGACGCTGACCTCCAGGGTGCTTGTCTGTCCTTCAGGCCTGTGTGTTTGTAGTTTGATGATGATTTGGTGCCTTAAGGAGCTCAGGATGGAAAATAGATGGGAGGTGTGGAGGACAGCTCACGATTGTCACGCATATCTCGAAACGGTCCTTATTATTTATCCTTCTGCTTTTTACATGCAAATGTATGTGTTTGCACCTTTACAAATCTAAACTTGTCCACATGAAAAAATGTGTTGAGTGTTTTTTTTTCTCGAAATCTTTGAACAATAAATAATTTATCGTATCATAAAGAACAACAATAGGAGGAATTGATTAAAATGACTGACACTATTCAGAACTAACATCGCTTTCATTGTTATGTCACAATAATAGGCACTCTAATACAGATCTGGATTCAAATACTGGCTGCGGCCTTCCTGTGTGGAGTTTCCAGATTCTGTCTGCGCTTGTGCGTGTTTTCTTCAGGATCTCCATCTTCCTCCCACGTGCATGTTAGGTTAATTGAGAATTCTAAATGGTTCATAGGTCTAAATGTGTGTGTGCTCTCAGAGGAGCAAAAATACTGGAAACATCTCTCAGTGTGATGCAGTGCATTATAACTGTGAATTGTATACCTCTCTGTGAGTGTCACTCAGAACATCACGTTATCTGTGTAAGTGTAGATTTTTACTTTTTAGCGCTTCATTGAAACCCTTATTACGTACTGCGTGATGTTTGTTATCATATGATGCCACAATTGTCGCACAAAATAGTATGAAAACATAAGCTGAACTCAGACAACGCTGAAAGACTCCAGTTTTCCGACCTTAGCGTAGACCACCTTCTCCATACAATATCTCAGCGGGTGTCGTTCATCTGTATACCGAAATCAAATTCAAACAAGCCTGCAGTCATATATTGATCGGTTTTATTTTTTTTCCTCTTTAAAAATGAACTTAGAGCAAGCTTAGGACAAGTGGACATGAATTGGTGCCTCTGTGGCAGGTAAATGAGGCATGAAGGAGGCCTGAGGTTGAAGGGAAAGGCAAATACCCCAGCCTGTTCTGTGTGTATTTTAATGTGCGATGTAAAACATAGTGTGCATGCTTGGCTTGGGCCTCACTGATTTGTTGTACCACAACACTGGTAAATTGATTAACCAGTCATGGAGTTCATTGCCCTTTTTGTGAAAATAGAATTGTTCACAGATGCTTTTAATGATGACGTTCGGTTGGACATTAAAGCTGAGCCACCAGTGTCAGTGCAACTAGAGGAGAAAATCCCCCAAAAGTACTGCAAAACAGTCCTGTTCTTTGAAGTGCGCTTGTCATACCAACCCCCTTTTTAAGATTGTTTTAGCAATAGTTCAAATCCAAATGTTCTTCTGTAAAAAAGGAGGCATTTTCATGTTATTTGGTAAATTATAATTGCAGACTGAGGTTTACATTATTAAGTGGTCAATCAGCTTCATCCTAATTTCTCTAAGCAACCATGTGAGGAATTAACATTTCAGCCCAGACAGAAAATCCTCTCTGGTCCAACAATGGCTTTATTTCTTTTTTGTTTAATTGAGCAGTCATTTGGGGGAAAACAAATATTTTCTTCTTGGTTTCTGGCTAGGCTCATTTCTTCTTGGCACGTAGATGCCGAGTCATGAACACAGGTCCTGGCTGCGGTTTTGTTGGCTGGAACTGACCACTGTTCGTACTCTCCTGTGAGTCAAGATTGTGGTTGACGCCGGGTTCATGTTGTCGTAGCCAACTGTACATCCAGACTGTAAAAGGGATCAGCGAGGAAACACGAGGAAAAAGATGAACTCGCATGTGTCACTCATCTAAGTTAGATTTATGACGGCTGTCGTCGTCGTAATTTAAACAACGTTTAAGATCCAAAATCTCAGTTTACAGTTTGAAAAATAATTCATCTTCATCCATAGAGCTGTAAAGCTTACATTCCCTGTGAGATCTCAAGTTACATTTACACTTTAGCCACTATCCCAATCTTAACAGTAATACCACATTGCAATAATAGAATGACCACTTGAGGATGAAATACTTACATTTTTATTCCAGTACATTAAAATACATTGGCCATTTAAAACAACACTGACACCATGTTGTGTATAGTTTAATCTTTACATCATAAAATGACACCGATACATATTTGCTTTTTTTTTGTGTTTGTTTGGTTTTCTTCCCCCGGAAAATCAGGACTGGTGCAGTCCCTTGGTATCGGAAGTTAATGTAGACACAAGTCAGAATTTCCATGGTATTTATATTCATCTCTTCGATGTCGAGTCTTATTACTGTCCAGTCACGTATAAAAAACCCCACAGTAAGTTCTGCAACTCATTTTAGACACTGGAACAAATACTGTACACAGGATTCAACAAAGGGATACACCACAGAAACAGTTTTTGCATTTGAGGTGGCAGCAGTTAGTGTTGCTGGCAAAACACCGTTCAGATATGCTCCCGCCCATTTCCCAGAGAGCGCGCTTGACTGCCGCAAACAGAATTGTTTGTCCCCCAAGTGCTTACGACATGCCTTTTAGAGACAAAATGACCATCCGCTGTTGGCCAAGGCGAACTTCAAAGCACTCTTGTTACAAACAGATGTGCAGTCCAGTGCCAACTTCTGTACACCGACGGCAAAGCGGCCGCGGTGTAATCATAGTTGAATAATCAAGAGGTACTGTCATTTCATTGACAGTTTCAGACACAAAGACTCCCTATTAAAAACAAAAATACTCAAGATTTTCTGCAGTCTTGCAGATAGTCCTTTGAGAAGAACATCCTGTATTTAGTACGGGGTGGCGGGGGTGGGGTTGCTCCTGAGTTGGAAAGAGGAAGCGCTCCATGTTTTGAAGTTCAAGTGGCTGACGTCTTAATTAGTGCTTGCCGGTTTCCTCCATCAACCATTAATCCACCACGGCCACATCAGTCAAATTATTTGTTGGACAACAGACGTTGGAGCCTTTGGTGGGGGGCAGTAATGGGTCAAGAGGCTTGGGGGAGGCTGGGGGAAGGGAGAGGTATCTTGGAGTGGAATCTTCCTGCCTTTGTAGTCACTTCTTTTTGAACAGTGGTGCCTTTTAGGTTTGTTTTGACAAAATACCCTCCGCCCCCACAAACCCAATATAGAGCAAAGAATAACACAGACAAAAATCTTTTAAAAAATATATAGATATGAGTGTTGGATTAAATTACTATTTTATTCGACCCTTAATAGAAACCTATCTTTGACCTTTTCATAATTTAAAAACATATGTACAAAGTAACATCGAAAACAGTAGCTTTTAGCCTTATTATCAGGGGGTGTGGGGGGGGGGATCTGAAAAGACTTCTGTTTTAATACTTCAAAGATGTTATGAGAGGATAAGGATTTCCATGTGACAATTCAATTTTTAGGCTAGACAGCACAATGTACTCTTATCAAGGTGGTAGCATGATAGACGCCTTGAAATAGGTACAGCACTACAAAGTACACACGCATAAATAGAGAAGCTGCTGTATAAGTTATGTGTGAACATCGCTGTGACAAATTGATCCTATCATGAAAATGTTGTCTCCGCAGAAAAGGTAGAGATGAGAGAAAGAGCCTGCAGCCGCTGGACAGACAACAATCAGAATTGATTGTTCTTTCGCCTGGCTTCCGGCACAAATATCAATCACCGAGCCAGAATGACTAAAAGCTTCATTCTCCATAAGTCTTTTTTTTTGTTTCACTTTACATCAGTCTTGTTCTGTCCTTTTCCTTCAGTGGTAACATTTCACCTGCAGGAGCAGGACTGGACAGACATATTGGGGTAAATCTTGAGCACCAGATCCTTGGATTCTTCTTGGTAAAGCACTGCCAGAGGACTCATCCTCTCCGGTACACAGCAAGGCTCTGGAACCCCGGAAATAATCCCGACAGCTCGGACGATGCTTTGGATGGTGGCGTGGTTTGAGGGCCTCATCACCTGGCGATAGAGAAGAGGTGAAGGTAATGTCGATGATAATGAATGAGACAAAGTAGGCTGATTCAGTGTTTGTGCTCTTACCTTGGGCATTGGGAATCCGCATGTGCCTGAGCAGTAGTAGGCGTCAAAGGCCTTGGGCGCTATGATCCACTCGTTCCAGCCGATGTCTGCAAAATCCACTCTGAGGTTCTTTCGGGAGCAGCCATGGTGCCGGGTGTCTCCCCACTGCTTTCTTCTAGCCTTGCGCATGGTTTCATCGTCAAAACTCAAAACGGGTGAGCGGGAGTGATGAGCACTTCCCTTATTGTGCTTCCTTGCATCCCTCACCTCATGTCTCTGCTCTTGCCTTCGACTATCGACCGTTTGGGCGCGACTATCTTTGTATCTTCGTACAGACGAGGTGTCAAATTTAGACCCGTCTGATGTTCTTTCTGGAGATTCTTCTTTATCATGTCCTCCTCTACCTTGCTTGCCCGCTTCCTCGTGGCTTTTCCTTTTCTTTTCCTGCTTCCCAGCCTTGAGTTTGGGCTTGAGGGCCGGATACCATGAGCTCTCCCAAAGGTCGTCCTTCCTGTATGCAACGGTCCTGAAGTCAACCTCAGGCAGCTCATTGTTCTGTATCGAGTCGGGGAGAAAAGTTGCTTCCCTCCTCACACGTCCTTTGAACTGTGGTGAGAAATTGGGTCCGTACGGGAGGTGGGGGGACTGCGAGGGCCCCACACCTTCAGAGAACGGGTCATATCTCTGAAGACTTGGGTACACACTGTTAGGTTCTGCCAAGGCTAGGTCATCCGCATAGACTAACAGGTAGGCCATGCTTGATCCCTCTGCTTTCCTCTGGTACTGCTGCCCTAAGTCCAACTCCACTGACACTAGGTGATGACCTCTGTCCCTCGCCTCCTTTATGACCTGGGTCACGTCTTTCATCTGCCACACCCCTCTCCTCTGAGGGTAGAAGGTCACATTGCCTAGGAATGACCCGGTTGACCCAGAACTGACTCCCGACCCTGAGGAGACAGCGCGAAGGAGTAGGCTGATGGCCGTAGATGGCTGCGTGCCGGAGGACCGGCAAGATGCGCTCTTGAAGCGTTTACAGATCCACGCTTTCTCAGGAGGGTGCCGTTCTAGCAGGAAGTGGAGTGTGGCTGACAGGATGACCTCAGAGTCCTGGAGGGTGGTCAGGTTTAGATGGTACACTGTCCGGAGGTCAGAGGGCACTGCAAAGACAATCCATCAATCAGTAGGCACGTCACTGTCAACGCTTTACATCTTCCAACTTGGCCGAGTCACTTTTTTTCGAGCAAAAACCGCTGCCGAAAGCTCCGTACGGACTCTCGAATGGGTACTCCGTTTTATAGTAGGCCAACATTTCTATACACGACTCGTATTTTTATTGATTCTTTTATTGCCTGAACAAGTGTTGTCTCGTGTCTCTCTGTACATTGACCACTCAGTGACACACCTCTTCCCACGCATTTGTACATATAGGTCAGAATGCATCATATTCTTTCACTGACCTACATTAACGCAGTAGTTAAGTCAAGTACATACTTGTGTGGGGGGGGAAAACTCTCGTCAACCATACATATAAAACAAGCAAATGAAAACCATGACAGACAATGGTAACTAACTGTGTGCGCTATGTGACAACGTTTTCTTAGGCTGCTGCGCAAACTATTCCGTTGCTCGCTGTTCAAAACCTCAAAACAGCTTGCTACGACCGTCATATACTGAGGATACGGCGTGTTTTCGCTCTGTCAATTGGGCGAGGCAATCGGCTACCCCAGTTGAGAAAAAAAGTAGGACAATATGGAATTGTCTGTCCCTTGGCTACAAATACATATTTTGATGATTTATATAAAAATAAACAGTATCACAATTCGAACATGTTGTTTTGCAACTTACAGGTGCTTCCATGTTTTTGTTTTAAACACGGCCCAACCAGTCAATATTTGTTTAATACTTTCCATCATTCTTGTTGGTTTTGGACAGGATCTCTGTGTTGTTGAAGAAAAAGTGGCTTTGCATCAGTTTGATGATAACTATCTTTTCCAAAATGGGAATGAAATGGTGCCTTGCAAGGGGAACCTCATTTGAACTTAGGCTGTTACAGTAAAGTTTGTTAAAGTCATGTGAAAATTCCCAGAGAGATGTGTAAATCGATAACAAATTGTACTTCACACAATCTAAAGTGGTGCAATTAAACACGTTCCCTTGTTCAAGCCTGTGTTACATGAGCAGACCGAGTGGCTGGGACGTGCATGCAGAAGTCGCCCTGTAAGGGGAACCAGACTCTGGGGGGGATGTGGGTGGCAGGGGAAGAGGTGGAAGCGGGGGGCTCTCCAGATTCATGATGAACATTAACTTCAACAGCAGACTTATTGTTCATTGTGTAAGAGTTCAACGGAAGTATGGAGCGACTCAGGAGATATACATTACCTCAGATTCAGCCTGCATATGGAAATGCTTACCTCAAGCTTCACTCTAAGCCTTTTAATACAACCTGCACCCTCTGCCCATGCAGGCACCGCGACACAATCGACTGTTTTAACAGCTCTTTCATTGTTGTGAGAAGTCCCTCACATCTCTCCTTAGATTACACCAGGCCATCGCAGTCAAAATATGCGCCTGTTATGTTACGCTATGTGAGAAGTACATGGGATAGAAATGAGTTATAAAAAGAGCATCAGAAGTGCTGTGACTAAGCTCCCCCCTTGGCTCCGTGACGCGGAGTCACACATGTCCTGGAGCCACAACACAAACACAGAATCCATGACAATGACACTCGGAGGCGCCACTCTGCGGTTTAACCAGACATGAAGTCGGGCATGGCTCGCGGGCTATCACAGGCATTTTTTTTTCTCTTTTCTGTTGGTAATGGATCGGACCCTCAGCAGAAGGGAGGCAGCTGCGGCAACGTCCCAGCATCATTTAAACGCATTCTCAGACTGTTCCAAAACAATCACACCTATTTAGAGCGCTTGGCTGAGTCGTGGAGCCCCACTGAGAGCTTGTTACATGCACTACCCTGCCACAAAATTAGGTACACTTCAATTAATGAGCTACAATACAACACCCCAAACACTTTGATCAGTTTTCAGTGGTATAATAATTGTACCAATATATTTAGCTGCGGGTGTTTTTTTTTTTCCAACAGTGGTTCAGAATGTTGTTGCACCATTCTAATATTTTTTTAACCTAATTTTTCAGCATGAGAATCAACATATGAATCATCTCGCGATATGATTACTTGACTATGACTACTTCTCAACCGGAAACTAACTTGTCTGCATAATTAAATTAAATTCTATGCATGTTATTGTTAGGTAAGTGGCGGCACGGTGTACATGTGGTTAGCCCGTCTGTCTCGCAGTTCTGCGGTGGGAGATTTGAATCTGGGGTCTGGTCTTGTGTAGATTCCAAAAACATGAATGTTAGTTTCATTGAAGATTCTTAAATTGTCCCGAGGGGTTAATGAGTAAGTGGGAATGATTGTCCATTCGGGCTGCACGATATTGGAAAAACAGGCAATATGAGTTTTGATGACAGCGACATTGATATTCAGTATTGTGATATTGAACATATACTGTAGTAGAAATGTAGAAATGACCTTTTTATCGAATAAAAGTGATCCTTCCCCCCCATGCAGCAAAATAAGCAAGCTCAACATATTCTTTGCTATTTAATTGTAATGCCCCATAGATACTGTTCAGCTCCTGGATGGCGATGCACATTTATGATTGCATCTGACTGCTTAAATTGAATCCAGATAAAAGCACACAATCGCATATAAAAACTCTTGCACGTTCTTGCGATATGCATATTGCACGGCTCATTATTGCCATAAGGATTTTTTTTTCTGATACATTGTGCAGCCCTATTGTCTATACAGTATGTGCCCCGCGATTGGCAAATGACCAATCCAGGTTGTATCCGGCTGAGACCCTAATGAAGATTAGCGGATAGAAAGTGGATGGATGGCTGCTGGCTGTTAAATGTGTATTTTGATATGGTACAGTGAGATGCTACAGTGACAAACGGAAGTAAAATTGTATTTTCATATCTTCCTGATATTCATTCCATTCACAATATTTCACTTACCTTGGCTTGCTCTGAAGCTCCTGGCCGTGTTTCCTTCTTTGAGACGCTGTTCCCTGTTGCATTTCTCGTGCAGTTTGGACATGTGTTGGAGGAGCACGTCCTGGTCCAGTTCACCTGAGGAGGGCGGCCGAGGGAAGCTTGCTCCCTGCGCGATCCGAACCGACGCCACACCGAGGAAACACTTCAACACTAACAGGGGCAGGTGCGTGGAGAACATCGTCGGACCTGCCGTTAAAAAAAGTACTGCACGAATTGAAGGGGGCAAAGCGGTGGGGGAATCCAGAAAGAGAGCGAGGTCGTCAAAGAGAGGGGGGAAAAAAAAAGTTCAAAAAGTCGTGCCTCAAGACAATATCGTGCGTAAAAGTTCCACGCTGTCCTCGAACGTGGTGGCCGTTGCTCAATGAGAATCCATGTGCGCGCTGAATGTGTGAAACTGGTCCAACTATTCGGGCAGCTACTTTTATTTCCACATACGTGTGCGTGTGTGTATGTATGTGTGTGTGTGACTATGCATGTGCGAGTTGCCGAGCTGCTGACGTGCCAAAGAGCTCTCTGTTAAGCCCTGTGCAACCAGCAGTGGAGGTCATGATGCTGACACCCCGCCCCTCTTTCTCCTCTTTTTCACATCACGATGATGTGTTCTTAGTGTGCTGGTGTAGCTATGACACACTCATCTAGCGTCCCACCGCACATTTTGTGCTCATTTGTTTAGCAGTGGTCAAACAAAGCCACTTTTGAACCTTTTTAAAATTTTTTGGCAATTCCAACTCACCATTTCCAGCTCGCCTTATTATTTCCAGTAAGACCTTTTGACAGTCTGTAGTCGCACATAATTAGCATCGAAACACCTCCAATAATAGCGGCACTAACCACGCAAGGCCTATTGTTCCAAACAGTCATCATTTGGTATGAATGTGTGGTTTTCTGTGTAAGACTGTGGCAGGATTACACTCTTGAAGGGGAATTTCTGCAAAAAAATTCTCATTGGCAAACATTTGCGGTTGTGTGGCCTTTTAAACTAACCGCAGTTTAGTCCACTTTTTTAAAAGTTAATACTGTAGTTATTTTTGGTTTCTGTGATTGTCCGCAATGTCTGGAAGATTAGAACGACAATGCTTGTTTTGTGAAAGTGGTGGTCTCCAGCAGAGAGGCTGTAACTAGCTGGGCCTCTTGGGTCACTCTCCGTCACCGCCACACACACACACACACACACACACACACACACACACACACACACACACACACACACACACACACACACACAAAGTAGCACTTTTCTGGCCCCCAAGTATGTGAATGTGTGCGTTTGTGAGACACTGGAGTTAAGGTTGTAGTGTGACAGGAACACAAACATCATGTATGCTGCCTCCTTCCATCAATGATTGATGACTACCGGTGGTTATTTTAACTTTGTATGATATACTGCCACCCTCTCAAACTTCAACTTGAATTTTTTGGGCATTTATTTGGAAGTGGCTGCATGTTGGAATAACAATGCAACAAAACTGGAGAAGAAAAGTATTAGCACTAATGTGTTTTGAGCCAAATGACACAAAGAAAGCATCAAAAGAATGAGTCCTCTGGCTCTTGTGTCTCGCAGTCATCATGATTTTATACTGGCAAACCACACTGCGACCACTACTTTGAAAGTCTTCCAGATTTGAGAGCAAGCACTATAATGACACCATTATTGTTGTTTGACCTCTAAGCCTGACTATGTAGGGCGGTGCAAGATTAACGCTGGGCTTCATCTATTTAAGATTATTGCTCTCGGCATCAGGACTGCGTGGAAAGCAACTGAGACAAGTGCCATCAAGATAAAAGCAGGATTTCTTCATTTAGTTTCAAACACAAGCATGCAGTGCACAAAATGAGATTAGGTTCGTTTGAAATAAATTTCAAAGTTGGAAACTTTCCATGGAAATGAATGTGGTTTAAAAAAAAGCATTATATCCCTTAAATCGATTTATTTGAACACACATATTTACATTTTATGTTCACTGAAATTGCCCCTTTATTGTGCTGCTAAGAAACATTAACAGTAAATAGTCACAAAAACGTGCAAATGTCACCAAACGCTCAATACAATAGAAAGTGACATGGACATGGTGATGTCTTTTTTTTCTCTTTGTATAAATTTATCATATGGTTGCTTGATTTCTCCAAAAATTTAAATGTTTGTACTGGCCTTAAAAAAAAAAAAAAAAAACAATCAAGCCAATTCAAGCTAATTTCATTTAAACACTAGTTACGGTATGGACAAAACTATTTAGACATACTACAATGTACACACTACAATAATCAACTACAGATGGTTGGAGTTGACTGCCATGTATCCCCCCCAAAAACACAAAAACATAGAACGTAAAAAAAAAAAAAATCCTATAAACCGTAGGTGTCCATTGGCATGTTGCGAAAAATTAATTGGTCAATCAGCATTTTGGTTTCACCCCCCCCCCGCTTTGTACAAGACCCCTCGCGACAAGGCCGTACAGGACTGAAGTGTTGCGCAGTGTGCGGGGTTGTTCTGAAGAACCTGTGCAGAACCCTGACCTCAACCCCACACAACACATTTGGAATGAACTACAGTAACAAGTGTTGTGAGCAACACTCACAAATGTTATGCTGGGTTGCTGATCTACTAATGCGGCACCAGACATGCGGCTTAGACAGAACATAATCCGTCATTTTGATGATGACACGCGGACCACCAAATCCAGCATTCATGAGATGTGGGTGCTTGTTGCTTCTCGATGATTCATGCGGCAATTCAGCAGAGAAGTGTGAGTCTGGTTGTATCCGACCACTCAGACGATGTTTTTCTGGACTGCGGTGTGTTAGAGCTTGTTCAACACGAAGGTCTCCTTGTAGGGCCGTCCAAATCAAACAGGACTTGCTTTCTGCGCTCTGCGGGGGTATGGAGGTGCGCGAGGAATTAACATGTGTGGTTCTGGAAGTCCTCCTGCTTTCACACCTACGTATTGCAATGAGTGAAGCATATCAAGAGGTCGGCATCCGTGTTTGTGTGTGGGCTCATGGGAATCGGAACAGGTTACAAAAAGAACCATCTTTTCATCGCCGAGTTTGTCTAAACAGAATAGGGCAGTGTAAATTGGGGGGATAGGCTCACTTGACAATATCTTCACTGTATCAATATGAAGAGGTGGTAGTTTGAGCTACATGTTGACAGGTGGTGTAATGTATCCTCCAGGATGTTTACAATAGTTTAAACCTGGATATATTTTATACGGGGCCAAAACAACAGGATGCCTTCCAACACATTACGTAATCGGTTTCCTTGGACTGGAAGCACCAATGATTATTTTAAAGCAGGGGTCACCAATATGCCCACGGGTACTTGTTAGCCCCAAGGACCACATAAGTAGCCCGTGGAGCTGTTCTGCAAATAGCGCATCAGCGATGTGACATTGTGATTTTCTAGGAATGTTGTTGAAGTGATTATTTGAAAATGTAAACACTGGCAGAGATTAATAGAAGAAGTAGTGTAGAAGTGTTATTATACGTTTTTCTATTTCATGATTATTATGAGAAATCATTCTCATGGTTAGTGTCTACACATGATGAATATCATTCGTTAATAACAACAAATAATAACGTATGATTCACGGTGATTTTGAACAAATTAATTTTTTCAGAGGTGTGTCTCAAACTAGCCCTTCATGAATCGAGAAGCAGCTCGCCGTTCAAAAAAGGTTGGTGACTCCTGGTTTAAAGGTTGTTTTGGGGGGTATTAATGGTCCTTTTTGAAGGTAACTTGAATTATTTACAGTGTGGATTCCTTTGCTTGTGTGCCCTTGGGAAATTCATCCCATCACCGTTACAGCGTTCAATAACTTTAAGTGGCGCGTTTCTCAAAGTCGGGCCTGCAGACCACTGGTGGGTGGTCTGCGAGAAACCTCGGGAGGTCTGTGAGAAAGTTTTTTAGTTCAAACTGTCATGTTAGTGTAAAAAGAAGGTCAAGAAGTCACTTCGTATTAGTAAGGCAAGACAACGTGTAGCAAACATGGCAGCTTTTGACGCTTCGTTATGAATTTGTGGTTCTGTATCTTAAATACGTTTATGAAATACTGCTTTTGTGGAGCATGTACTGTACATATGACAGTCTGTGGTCCTGTGGTTTTGGTAGCAGAAATTTGACTTCTTTTTTGTCTTTTTTTTTCCTGTCCGTGTGGGGTGTATTGTACCAACACTTGATACATTTTTTTGTAATTACTGCATGTGAGCGTTGATGCCCTTTTTTGGAAATTTATGTGATGTAGTGCTGACTTTTTCCAAATGATTTCCTCTGACATTCTCTGGCCAGTAATGCGTATCACAAAGCCAGTAACCAAATGCAAAGAACTGGTAAATTATTAACACTTACTACTGAAGATTTATGCTTTTTTTTTGAGTCAGTTTAGGGAAACAGTTTTAAGGTAATGAAAGACCAGGAAGCCAACCATGTGGCTGTCATCGCTTCACCTTTATAGGTGTGTACGTGAAAAGGGCATGTGTGTGTTTGCATGTGTGAGTGTGTAGCTATACGGAGACTGTAGTTACGGTGGTGGTGGGGTAACTTTGTGACCCATTCACATTCTTAATAAAACATTCATAGAAGCAGAGGAATGTTATGGTTTTTGTGTGTGCGTGTATGTGCATGCATCCATGTGTGCATAGCAGGAGAATGTGTATGTGTGTGTGTTCTTCTGACTGTGATGTTGGGCCTCCTGCAGTGACCCCATGGAGTGCACCATTCTGTTAGCAAACAAAGGGCTGGCTGTTCCCCCCCACTCCAACCGTGGACTGTTCCAACGCTGCCGACCGCTCACTGCCGAGCTAACTAAATATTTCTCTTCCTGCTCTGAATTTGTCTCAATAAATAGGTTTATGTTTTGGGGTTTTCTTTCTCCTTTGGCTCTTTCAACTGAGAGCTCCCGAACACTCAGGTGGCCCCCTAATCTCAGGCCTTACGGTACTGGACGTGGCGCCTTTTTGAACTGGGACGAGAGCCGCGACATCCTGACTTTTGTGTGGAATAACATCCCAGAGTAAACTCTCTGTGGGAGTATTATTTCATCTTTCATTGACACTTAACCGATTCCAACTCATTTTGCTTCACTTGCGCTTTCAAGGTTTGTGGAAAAAATATAGAGATGCATTGTGCTGAGTCAGGGATACTATTGTTTTTATCACCGCTCAAATCACAAGACGGACTGATAAGTTGTTCAGAAAAATAAATACAATATGTATATATGTGTGAATATGTCTTAACGTGCAGAGCTGATGATCATACTTACCATCACTCAACGCTTAGGCTAATCATCAATGTTCTCCTCTTTCAAACAACAACAAAAAAAACACCGGCCACAACTTTAGGTACACCTACAAAAACTAATAACGTTCAACGAGAGAGCAATTACAAAGATAATGCAACACATCTTATTAAGAGGTACAGTACTTCAAATATTTTGAGAACTAGCTAGATAAGTCTAGCTACATGATGGGCAAAACATAAA